TTTTCCACGATAGTGTAACTTCAAGTGACTCATGATCACAACTATTGAAAGAAGTATTTACTTAATAGTTGAATTCATGAGTCAATTAAAGCTAGACTATCTTGGGAAACTTGGAAGTACAAAATGGCCGTTTCGTTCTAGTATAGTATTACTTAGCAGTATGCATCCATGATCCCACTTAAGGAATTTGAACTCAATGAAATGAAAAATTGAAGCATTCTTATTTCTTAAATTATACTTTATTGGATTTTGGATGAGATATTATATTTGAAATAATGACAATCTGACAATATTACTAGCTAAAATGTTTACTAATTTGAAATTTATTTAAAAAAATAATTAGGGTTAAACGAATCTGCAATAAGATGGATAGTGGCTAGCAGTGGAATCCAGGACGCGCGTTTCGTCCTGTTTGGGACTCGTCAGCTGGATGTACCTGCATCTCAGAGTTGATGTTCACCCTGGGACTCGAACTCAGTACCGTTCGTTTCAAACTCCATCGCGTTATCCACTTAGATACTGAGTCCTGATAGCCACTTGCTTGTGCAATGGGTTGAAGTTGAATTCACTTGATATTGTTTTACTTGAATTTTCCCATTGATGTTTTTGGACTGAAATTGATCAGTCTCTTATTGGCTATCAGGACTCAGTAGCTAAGTGGGTAACGCGATGGCGTTTGAAACGAACGGTACTGAGTTCGAGTCCCAGGGTGAACATCAACTCTGAGATGCAGGTACATCCAGCTGACGAGTCCCAAACAGGACGAAACGCGCGTCCTGGATTCCACTGCTAGCCACTATCCATCTTTGCTTATAATGCTTGTAAATTTAGGCAATATCGTGGCATACGCACAGTATGCACATATGCCAATAGGAGACTGATCAATTTCAGTCCAAAAACATCAATGGGAAAATTCAAGTAAAACAATATCAAGTGAATTCGAATCTGTAATATTTTGTATTTGTGTAGTTAAAGAAACTATCAATTAAAGTATAAATAACTATTGAAAGTATACGACACAAGAATTCATTGAATTAATAATCAGTTAGTCAATTAAATGCTTATGACTGTTCCCTCATTTCATTCGGCTGTTTCTAAAATCTTTTTTAGTATGCAAAATATTTTATAAGTGTTAAAACAGGTTGTGAAAAGTGAATGAACTAATGGAACTTCTCTCTTTGTTTTAGTAAATTGTTGAAATAAGTATCTTTTGTTGTAGATCGTTAAACTTCTTCAAAGAATACTGTTATCAAGTTATCTACCTGAAGAGTACTTTAAATTATATTTTGAATTGTTATCTATAATGAATATTAGAAATTACGTCATTCATATTACATAGTTGTATATTTGTATGCTACCATAAATTCATTAAAGTCATAAGATCTATACATAGCATAGAAAATGAGATGCTTTTGTTCATCCTTACAAAATTATTTTGTTTGTTTCTTCACATTTTAGTGTGCATCAGTTTATTAACAATGAATTAAAAGATTGTAACAGTAATTTATTCACCCATTAACACTATCTCCCATATGGTATATAGAAAATAGAGTGATAAAACGTGAAACAATACAAAACTATACACTGAATTAGTGAAATTTGGCTAGCGTAGAAATTAAAGAAGTATTTTTTGTCATGTTTGAGACCTCCCAGTTGAATGTGTATGCATCTCAGCGTTTGTATTCACAGTGAGGCTTGAACTCAGTGGCTTTCTCTTCAAACAAACATCGGGTTATCTACCAAGCTACTGAGCCCAAATAGTCAACTTTATCTAACAAGAACGATTTTCATCTTGTTATTAGTATGAATTATGCTAATGTTTATTTAAAGACTGAGTTTTAATCGCTATTTATTGGTATATGGTTGATAGAAATTCATTCATGAACATCAATAACAGAATAATTCAAACCACAATAATAATGATTTGAAATGTAACACCTGGTAGATATCTCCTAACCAAAACATCAAAAGTAACTTTATATTTCCAGTTTCCTTAAGCAGTCAAATCATATCTTTGACGCCTAATAACATAAAAAATAGACTATCTCTGAATAACATTTTCGTATATCGCTGAGCTCATTATTACACAACTGGATCATAGCATTTACAAGTTATTATTACATATCAAAGAATAATAAATGTCACTGAATTAAGGAACACATTTGAAAACTACATGCGTCATCTTGATGCCTTTGGTTATTGTGTACATTCGTTTAATTGACTGCAATCTTTCATCAGTGTGCATGTTCCATATATATGAGATTGACTACGTTAGTATTTATGTACCTATTCACTGTACTAAGTATGTGACCACACGTACATTACTTTAACAGCCCCCACATTGACTTGGCATGTTTCAAATCCACATTACTTACATCTGTTCACTTTTGAAATTTATCCCTAAAGCTACATACATAAATTACAATATTCTCACACACATTTCATGTACAACGTTTGATGACATATCGATCAAAATGACAAGTTTAGAAAATGAATAAGAAACGAATCTAGTATAATGTATTAAAGGGGAACAAATCAAATATGAGATTGGATATCTAACACAGTCAGACAGACCTATTATTTATAGACTCTGATAAAGTTTGAAGTAAATACTTTCTTAATTATTTCTTTTTATATCATACATCCTACATCATATAATCACTAAGATTGAACTTTATTATAATAGCTGTTGCAACACCAATCATCAAAAAGTGTTAGGTAAATTTTAGAAAAAAATGAGATCTTCAGTTAAACCGCTTATACAGAAAAGATCTTAACTAATTAATAAACATTCTTATTTTAGCAAGAAAAGTTATGTATTTATAAAAATACAAAAAAAAACTTTTTTCAATAAAATATGAAACAAGTTACTTTTAAAAAAATAAACAGAAAGGAAGCGTTTATTGCTGAGTGCATCTCATATCTACCCTAGGGATCTCTCTATAAACTAGTTAACTTACTACTTGACAGTTTGTTACTACAAAACAACTACTCATAATTAAAACTGTTATAGCAACTACTAATGTAAACATTACAATCATCATTGTTTTGAATTAGAATTTAAATGGTGGCCTAACATCAATCGGTTCATGATCTCAATCAAAAACTTAACAATCTCCACAACCCCATATACTGATTAGAATTAATCATTTCACTACAGTGAATACCACTGAAAATTTATCGATCAACTGAAGAATTATTGACAATAGCATATTTAAAACGGAAATCATTGTAAACCTAGCAGTAGTTGTTTGTTTGCTGTTGTTTCTTTTATTTTTTTTTAAAATTTTTGTAAACAGTAAACTTGTATAAAGATTTTTAGATCACTTATGTGTCTGTCATTAAACAACTAAATTTCATTACTCTCTTCTATCTTTTTTTCTTCCGTTTTATTTATTTATTTTTTAAAACATATAAAGAGAACATTTAAGAGTATTTGTCACTCATCATTAGTATGTTGAAAAAAAAGGGAGAATATTTTTATTTCAGTTTCTTCTAGATCCTTGATTTTTACAAGTTTCATTATGGTTAATTTTATGAAGAGTTACATACAACCGTCCAATTGTTAAAAATAGGTGAAGTTATTTATTTATTTTTTTGATTGAAATATAAAATAAGATAGGAAGTCGATTATGAATCGTCTTTTATTTTTACCTTTTTTTATATAGTATACGTCAGAACAATTACTCTATTAATATTTTGATAAGCAAGAGTGTGAAGATAGTCCTTTTTAACTGACCTGCTATTTATAACTATGAGTACCACCAAATTAAGAATGACAAATCTTAATGAGATTTGGCAAAGATTTATATTATATTGATTAGGTTTGACAGAAATTTTTATCAGTTTATGGGTTGTGACGATTGTTAGGTTTTTGATTGAGATCATGAACCGATTGATGTTACACCACCATTAAAAACATGAAAGCATTGGACGGATAATCACCATGTGCTCACTAGTGACTAGGTTCGTGCGAAAATTCTCGGAGTTCTGGTGAGAATCCGTGACTAGTGGAGCTAATCCGTGTCTGATAGAAACACGTGTCCACCTCAGTACGATGGAAAATGGTCGCACAATTTAGCAGACTGGTTGAGGATAGACATCAACACCATTGGATGCCCGCTCAGTGGTTCAGTATGTTAAGCGTTCGCGCGCCAGACTGAAGGCCCTGGGTTCGAATCCCGCTAGCGGAGTTCCACAATGGGACGAAATGGCCGTCCAGTGCTTCCAGGTTTTTAATGGTGGTCTATCATCTATCGGTTCATGATCTTAATTAAGAACTTTTTGTGTCGTTTTCAAAAAACCCTCATTATTAAAATAAGATATAAATTCATATTCAATAAATAATTGAACTATAGGCTACTTATTATTAAGTCTGATAGTTGAAGAAGAAAACATGGAAACTTAATTATCTAAGACAAAACAATTTACGCACAAAAATATCTTTCCATGATTAATATATTTTCTACATAACTTAAAATTGTACCTACATGATAGAAAATTGAACAGATTTCGATAATCAGTATAAATCTTATAATTCTTTTGTTTTTTTAATATTTGAAAGATGTTGACCAAAGTGTTTCAGTAAAACTTTGGTTATTTTTTTCATAAAGGACAATCCATTGGCTTCATAAAAGTCATTTAAATTAAACTTATAAAGATAACAAACAGAGTATCATTTTCATCAAGATGAACTCATTTTGACAGCCTGAAATTTTATTGGCAAGATATAATGATATTTAATAAGACCTGGGTTTGAATCTCGTGAGGTGGGATCGTGGCTGCGCACCCTGAGAATTGCCACAATAAGACGAAATGGTTGTGCAGTGCTTCTAGGTTTTCCATGAAGGTTTAATTTTAATTGACTCATCTCAACTACTGATATAATTTTTTCTTTGTAAAACTAAATGAAATTGTAAAAAGCTTCCACGAAATTAAACTAATCATAATTGAATTATTACTAAATTAGAATAAAATATTATTTATACGAAAGAACTTACCTAGAAAAGTAATTTGTATGAACATACCAATATGCCCAATAGATAAGCCAATCTGCCAATTCGTGAGCATTCCAACAAAATATCCTAAAATTGCACTGATCATTAAAGGGAATACAAATAGCAATTTGCTAAATTTCAAAGGTATTGGATTTTCAAGACGATTAAGGTTGTGTAGTTCACCTGTTTTACAAAAAGTATACAATATTCATGGTTAGGATTGTACTAAACCTATGAAGTTGAATGAAAAATATTGCTTTCTTGCTATAATCCAAACCATACAGAATGCTTATATGCCATCAATAGACGGATCAGTTGCAGTCCTAAATAACAAACAGGCAAACAACTCTAAGTAAATTTAAAATTCACCACATTGCACGAGCAAGTGGCTATCAAGACTCAGTAGCTAAGCAGATAGCGCGATGGCGTTTGAAGCGAACGTTATTAAGTACAAGTTTTGGAGTGATCATCTACTCTGGGATTCAGGTGCCTCCAGCTGACAGGTCCTAAAGAGGACATTTATTATACTCTATATGAATTTCTGCTTACATTTGGCACATTTTATATTGCTAGATATATAGATAAAATCTTGTTAAGAATAAATTCCAACTTTCATCGTGTATGAAACAATGTGTAAAAATAAAAATATTTTTGTATGTAAGTATCATCTGTTTAGCTTGAATCCACTTTAATTAATGGCAAACAAATCAATGATTAATTTATGAGCAAAAAGGTATCATTTTGCGCTTCACTTAAATCAACTATTTCGTAAATATTTGAATCGATGCATGTATATATGTACCATATGTCTAATTTGGTGTTCTCAGCTATGAAAAGTTTTGTTACGGTGTATTACGCAATGGTGACAGTGTATTATAAACTACACTTCCGGTAGTTAATAACATGTTTAGATATTTTAAATTTTAATCAATAGTTTTTTGCTCAAAAAGATTGTAAAAAAGTAAAGAAGTAAGTAAAGAATATCTAAAAAAACTAAATGATTCTTGTACTGTCTTATTTTTCTGATTATCAGCACAATCATGTAGGACCGACGAAATGTAACTCAGTGATAGACAACAGGTAGATCACTGAATGAAGAACAGTTTACTAAGATTTCTCAGTCATTGCATGAGGTTAACTTGTCATGAATTTACTTTTGTAAAATTTTATTTTGAAACCATATTAAGCAGATTTAAAGAATCATAAGATGAAGTGAAATATAACTGTACTGTGAATGTGGTTCAATAAACATTCAGCTCATTTTTTTACTCAATAAACATTTAGAATAAAACAGATAATGTCACTGTTTACAGATCAGACAATATTTAGGAATAATCTACGCAGATTATTCTTACATTGATTACTAGATTATTATTATCGTCATATCTCAATGTGATGGTAGGTTATCATTAATTTTTAAGTGCACTGAAACTAGATAAACTTAGTTAGAAGAAACAATCTATCAGTGAAATTTTAAATAACCTGTAATAAGAATACGATTAATCACCTATATTATATTGCAACATATAACGTGTTAGCATCATATTTTGTGAATACACTATGCAGAATAAATATAATATTACTGAGAAAGTTATATTGTTGCGAATGTTAGTATACAATGTCAACAAGAATCTATAAAATCCTGCTTAAAACACATTCATTGTGCTGAAAAAAACTGAAATGATAATTGTAATGTAAATTCAGGCAATTTAATCAGATTTTAAAGAAAATCAAAGTCCTAAATTGTAATGATATTTATAAAATATTAAGGATCAAGTACTATTGTGGTGTGGGTTACTTACATCCACACAAGTAGTATATAACGGTGATCAGGCATAGAGTGTATTTCAGTAGAAGAGCGGGAAGGAAAGAACGGGAACGGAACGCAATTGGTATGAAAATGCATGAACAATGAAATTCGAGACGATGGATTGATATTTTGCAAATTAACTATTTACTACATGGTTCTGAGATTTTATTAAGATGCTCTGTAATTTCATGTCAAATACATTCGATTGTCCTCACTGATGTTCTTGTTCACTACACTATATCTCTGTATATTTTCAAATTTAACAGATTCATTTTGAACTTCACATTTTGGACGATGAATTTATACCAGAAAATAGAATGACATATCAGTATACTTTTGAAAAGAATGAATAAATAATTCATTGGTTTTGTGTATTTCATCTAAATACTGAATCATAAACGTGTAGAACTAATTGAATAACACAAAAAATTACTGAACAACTGTTATTTATATAGTTTTTACTTCATATTTCTAGTCAAATCGAAAGGGATTAACTTACTTGCTAGTTGTGAAAGATATTCTTTATTGTTTTGTTGAGTGAAAATCCCAACCGTCATAGGAAAATTTGACTGCCTACAAGTGAACATATCTGCTAATACACGAATTGTGTTTGCAGCATGATTTTCTACATTTGGTGAGTTACTTTCTATGGGAATGTTATAAGCACCTGTTATAGAAATAAATAAATAAAAAAACAAATCATGTGTATGTATGTGAGATAATTAATATTTTTCTGGTAAAATTTAATATGCAAAGATAGATGGTGACTAGCAGTGGAATTCAGGACGTGTGTTTCGTCCTATTCGGGACTCTTCAGCTGGATGTACCTTCATTCCACAGTTGATGTTTACTGTCTGAAGATACAAGCAAACACTACCAAATGAATTTGAAATTTAATATGTTTAAAACCATTCACTTGATCCCACTAATTTATTATTATGTATATAATATAGTATGGCTTCTTAACTAACCATGTAAATTTACGCAAATATTGTTAAATGAACTGAATGATTGACTATACACTTAGATAAGTAATGCTTTCTAGTAAACGAAGGTCGCATAAAAGACATTAGATACATGTATTTTGTCTTTTATGAATGTGAAAGGAAAATAACAGTAATAAGGCATGTAACAACGTATTTGGATAGAATAAATGAAAATGTTTATTAAATACATGGTAATGAAGACAGTAACTGACAGAATCTAATCGGTATTACGAAGTTTATGAGAAGAAACGGATTACTATCCAGTGAACAATCATTGTACATATTTCAATTTCACAGGAGGTCGGTTGAGACCCGAATCGCTCATTTGAAACGTACTGGACTAAGACACTGGTTGATGAGGGTCATACCACTACAAAGAGGATCATATTCATTAAGACTGAAAACAGACCTTGTAAACGAGTGCATTCAACAAACTAATATTGAAATAAACTGCTAATCATTTAGTAATCAACTAATATATGGCACAAATAAGTAACTTATGTAAAATCCATGGTATTGGCATCACGATTTTCTGTAAACCTCACTGTGTGTTAACTTCACAACGCTTGTTACTATATATACTATCTAAAGCTCTGATCATTTTACAAAGAATCATCAATCTATTATCACCATATCTATTACTAAATACTGTCAATTTTAAATCAATACATTTTTCTAAAATAATTTCCACATTTATATGTTTTACAGTATAAAATCATAATTTTTGTGGCTGTGTACAAGTGAATTTTAACTCTTGAGCCGGATGTATTACTGTACTTGTTATGTTTTCTTTCTTTATCTTAGCAACTAGCAACAAAAACAGTAAATGAATTTATAGGATTCATCGATTAACTTGATAATAATATGAGTGACCGTTCTTTTCGCGATTATACCTTCTATTCGAAACAGTTGTTTTTTTGCTGTTGTTAAATTCACTTATTTTGTTTACCTATTTTTGGTTTTATTTAATTCCCTTGAAGTTTATAATCTTTAAGTAGATTGTTGTTGGAGGTTTATCTACTTAACTCTTTCTATTCTATCTCTCAGTTATTTAATTAGTTCTGTAGACTATTTTACAGTAGAATTAAGGTGAGTGAGAATTAATAGAGAAATTGCTGGTTTCTTTTTAAACAGAACAAAATTTTCTGTTATTGAAAATCTATACATAGGAATATACATATATAAGTGATATACTGTCTTCGTTAAAATAGATAAATAAATAGCAGAGTTTCCACATCTGTTAACATGACTGGAAGGTATTTCTTGTGGTATGAACGTCATTTAATACAATTTTCAGTTTAAAATCAATAATGATGATAAGAAAGAGAACATCTCAAATCAATCTTTCTTTGTGTTAAAATTCTCAAAAGTCTATCTGCGTTTTCGTCAAGATACTTGATATTATAAACAAGTACAGACATCTTTATACAAGAATATCAAAATTTGGCATACTTTAGCCCTTTATTTGTATTATCAAAATTAAAAATCTATAAGCTGGAGACGATTTTGTGCTCATACAGAGAAGATAGTATATCAAATCATAACTCTACAACTCGACTTTTTGAAATTTAGAAACTTCAATCTCAATTAAAAAACATGAGGTGGAACAATTAGCAATAATAATTATTCTGTTATCACAGAACAATATAATTCATCAAGTACACTAAACTTAGAACTTACTCATATCTGTATATGGTTCAGGTCCAATATCATTATTGCTAATAACTGAAGAATGCATTAATCCTGATTCTTTAACATTTTTCATACAATCTAAAGAGTTTCTCATAAATTATTTGTTTGAAATTTTGTCATACGATCTTGTATCATAATTCATTAACATACATTATGATTGTTTTCATTATATTTGATATTTGATTCATATATCTTATATTTTTGTTTGAGTATTTTTAATTGAATCGGAATATGAGCTCAAAATTTTCATTGTTTAATATGAGTTTACTTTGTTTCATTCTACTATTGACTTTTATTGAGGTGGCTTTATATGCTGATGAATAAAAACGATTGAAATGTTTACTTGTATTTCTTTATCATTAAGTAAGTGATTTTTATTGCCAGTAATATTTCAATCTAGGTAGATCAGAATAAATAAAATTGAATAAATCGTTATTAGATAAATGTGTATATTTAATAAATAATGAAATCACTCAAATGAAGCTGATAAGAAGTTTATGATCTATTACTAAACACACACACTATAGTTAATTTTGTAACGGTACACTATCACTATTTGTTTCCTTGGAACCTGACCTTTAAAGACATAAGTTGTGAACATAATGATAAGAATAATGTGTACATATGAAATATACAATGGAACACTTGATGTCAAAGAGTTTTCAGTTGAATTTCCCTGAGATCTCACATTATTTTGTGTGCTTAATGCCTATTAAAACAGAAAGAACTATTTTCCTCTCGTGCAAACTATATTAAACGTAAAATATCTCTGTAAGCAGCGCTTTATCAACCGTATTTTTAGTGAAAATCGTGCTTTAAAACAAACTGAAAAATAAAATTTTAAATCCCTCAATGTATAACGTATAAACTAATTGAATGATATCTCTGAATGAGCTACTGGATTGACATTTATATATATATTATTTAATTTAACACTATAAGTTCTCAGGGCAACCTTTCTACGTAATTGCATAGATAGGTTTTCTTAACTTGATACTTGTGACTCAAACATTTTCAATAACTCAAACACGAAGTTCATGAATGTTCATCACTTAATTTATGGTAGAAGTTGAGATTATATCACAAGTTACAAGTTAACAAGTTTATACTAATAGGTCGTGATGATACATATGAGTTTATTCAAAACGGTCTATGATTAACGCCTAAAATAATTCCATGATGACATTAGATAGATAACTGAACAAAAGAAAAAACTAACGTTATTGAACTTTGTTTATCTAAAGAAAACATTATTTTTACTATAAACTACTGGCATTAAAGGACAGCATTGCTAGACATTCAACAACCAATTCATTGTAAGAGGTGAACTGGAGTCAATCAAATTAAAAATAATATAAAATTATCACCATTTATTATATGCAAAGATGGATTCCCATTGAAGTTTGGGAGTGTAATTGACTAGTCTCTTATTGGCTTGTAAATTAAGTCAATATCGAGGCAATACGCACAGTATGCACATATACCAATAAGAGACTGATCAAATACAATCCTAAACATCAAACAGAAGATTCAAGCAAACAATACCAAGTGAATTTATCATCATTTAGTTCACTATATTTATAATCACCATAATCAACTGAATATGTATAAGAACAAAACACTCCAGTCTTTTAAAGATTATAAAAAAATCAAAATAAAGATCTAAACGCTGTTGTTTCTTGAAAAATTCAATTTTCATCTTGATCTTTTTCCTTAAAGTATATTTTTATCACTTCAGGCTATATTCTAATTACTGCTTGTTTGTTTACTCGTGTTACTTTCATTCTTGACATTGTTTGAGTCTATGTTGAATAGACTTTTTATCCTAATGTACCTGAATAACAAAATTGAATATTTCGTAGAGTCATCAAAGTTATTGCTATAACAATAAATTGATTCATGTGGATCAACAAATCAATTTTTTTCAGATGAAGATTAGAAAAAAACGAAAACAACCCAGCTACTTTGTTGTTTTATTTATTTTATTCTCACATTTAAAATAGAATTAAAATAATTTGGATTATTCTATTTTCAGAATACCGATACTGGATAAAGTGAAAAACAGATGAGTATGTTTTTTTGGTGAACATCATAAAGTGAAAAGCCTATGTACTCTGTTTCAGTTTATTAATTTTACTTGCATAATCATATATATATACGTACACATAGTTTTTCTCAATCGTTCGAGTCATAGATCTATGAGTTTTCAGATTATTTATTTATTTTAACACATAGATATTTGTACAAGGAGGCACCAAATACATATGCGCCACACAAATCTCATTCGATATGTGTGAGGGCTGTGATACTGCCCAGGTGCCCAAACCGAAGCAGGTGGTTTTCTTTGGGAGCCACACCCCGAGCCTTTGACCTAAAGGTCTAACCCACAAGGCAGTGGAGCATCGTGAGGAGATGAAGTCCCATGGTAGCCGGTGACCAACGATTGGTTCATACACCATTTGTTCCCTCAGGATACTGGAGCCCATGTGCCTCATTGGTTTGGAATCCGGTTAAAGCGCCAGACATTCGCTTTTCGTCCTCCCATTTTCGTAAACAACACCCACGCCACGAGAAGGCAGTGAGTAGGACTTCCCTGGCAGAGGCATTTGAGGGCATGAGTCTTCAGAACAAGTTATGTAAAGAATAACTTTAGAAAAACAAAAGAAAATCGGTGCATTCTCGTTACTGTTTAAAATATTTTGAAGGAGTAATTAGGGCGATTAAAGTACATTTTATATAATTAACAAGATAGTGGTTTAATTTCAGTAGTCTTGAATATTTAATATTTCTGTTAGAATTTTGACGATTTTTCTAATCAGAAGGGGTGATGTGGAAAGAAGCAGTAACCAGTGGAGTTCACTTGGGTCTGTTAGGAAATAGTAACTCACTGATGACAATGGTCGATGTGTCGCTCACTTTCGTGGATTGGTTAAAGTTAGACATTAACACCGTCGAATGACGATTTAGTGGTCCAATGGTTAAGTGCTCGCGCGCAAGACTGTTAGGTCCTGGGTTGGAATCTTACGAGGTGGGATCGTGGATGCACATTGCTGACGAGTTCCACAACAGGACGAAATGGCCGTATAATGCTTTCAGGTCTCCCATGGTGGTGTAGCTTCAATCGACTCATGATCCTGAATATTAAAATTTTTCTTATCTTATTAAGCCATTGGTTTACATTGCTTGTCAAACGCAGTTAAAATAAAAAGGTAATATTTCATGAAAAATGACTTCATACTGTTTACTGATCTTGTGAATGAGGTGACGTGGTGAATAATAAGCTTGGTAAACCTTGGTAATCATACCTATAATAATAAGCTCTATTTGTAATCTATCGGTTTATTAATAGTTTTATTTATGTAACCCTGAAAGATGTTAGTTGTAGATAAGTGCTAGGTTCCAAGACGTTTTATAATTAGTCATACACTTCTGGTTGTTATGTTCCTATTTACATATTTAAAGTTAAAGCCAAAATTTCTCATTTATGAACAATGCGGTTATCTAAGTTTTGCTTCGCCTTTTTTTCGTTATTCATCTTCTTCCAAAAAAGTTTGAAAATTTATAGTATCTGACGGGTTTCATATTATGACACAGTAACCTATGGTATAAACGATAAATGTAAACGTTAACAAATAAGCACTTTGTTCCATCCTGTTTCATATGACATTCTGTTAATAGTTAATATCCTTTTTGGCTTTGGATAATCCCATATGTCGTTTTAAAGCACGTTTTCAGATTAATCTAACCAGTGTACTTGTATACAAATGATTCAATAATCTATTAAAATTTCATCTACAGAATCTAGATAAGTAGTTGGAGCCTTTATTAGATAATTGATTTGTATATTTCCAGCCAGTAGTAGTGTAAAACATCAAAAGTCAGATAAATCTACCACTCACTGAAGCAGATTGTTTTTTAATCACGTAAAGTTCGCTGAAAAAAACCTAGTTCAAATGTTATCTAACTGTCTCTTTACTCAACACTAGTTACTACAAATCGGCTCTTTGTTTCAAAATTATCTATAGATATCTGTAATTACGTTAACAGTATCTGTCAATAATTAATTTATGTTGCGACATTCTTTCAAAACAGTTTAGTTGAACTTTGATAGATAGCTCATACCAACATCGAACATCTAATTCATTATCTATCACTTTACGTTTGAAAGGGATTCTTATATATGAGATCTCTGAGCATAAATGTTACTAACTTTTGTTTAAATTACACAAACCTAAATCAAGTCTGAATGTGAGATAATTTTTGTCTGTGGATCGAAATCTATTATTAAAACCAAAAAAATCATAGCGTTAATTGATACATAAAGCTGACCAGCTATAGTCTGACACACTGTTGAGATAAGAGGACTTGTTAAAGAAATAGTCTAGATTAGTAATAAGACTTGTTAAATTTTAAACATTTTTATGGTGGCTTTTTGGGATGCTATTATTATTGTGATGTATCAATGTTAGCTAATAGACACCGATCCTTTGGGGTGTTTTGTGATGAAAAATACGAAATCTACTGATATTTTTGCTGTTTTGATCTGGTCAATGCACCAGAAATGTATTTTAGAAGTTATTATCTTCTTTCTAATTTTTTTCTTGGTTGTTATTGTTGAAGTAATACTGCTTAGGTGTTGATAGTCTATCTAATTACATTAGATTCAGTTTTACAATTGTAGTATCTCATATTTTACATATTTCGAACCCAATGTATCATAATTAACTAACTTCATGTACTTGTCTTGCTACTATATTACGTCGTTTATTATTTTCTTCATTAGTTTGTGAGAAATAATACGATTGATTATTTTACATTTCAATATGAAATAGTATAATATCTTTATTATAAATGCCATTTATACCTTAGTATTAGTAAAAATTGAAGCTACTACCTAACGACTTTTAAAGTAAAGAATACTATCTTTGAAGTGAACATGTTTGTACATAAGTAGAAATGTATGGAAACAAACAAATTCAGTGTTGTTGACGTTTCCCTAAATGAAACAAGTAATTGATCAGTAAGATAAAATATTAGAGGTTCTTGGTTTGGTGATATTACAAATGACTATATTGATTAAATTATGACCACATG